TAAATGACACTACAATAGTGCCACAGAAAGTAACCACACGTAGGGATTAATTAAAAACATTGAATGAGTGTCACAACTTACTAGGGGACATTAATTGGATACGACCTGCTCTAGGCATTCCTACCTATGCCATGAGTAATCTATTTTCTATCCTTAGAGGAGATCCTAGTCTCACCAGCCCTTGACAATTAACAAAGGAGGCTGAGGTTGAGTTACAGCTGATTGAGAAGCAAGTGCATAAAGCTCAAATAAATAGAATAGATCCAAAAAATACTTTTGACTTGTTAATTTTTCTGACTCAGCATTCACCTACTGGTGTTACTGTCCAAGAGCAAGGCTGGGTAGAATGGCTTTTTCTTCCACATGCTAATTCATGGACTCTTTATTTGGATCAAGTTGCTACTCTGATAGGAAATGGGAGAACTTGAATTGTTAAATTGCATGGCTATGACCCTGGAAAAATTATTGTCCCTCTTACAAAGGCACAAATATCACAAGCCTTTATAAATAGTCTTACTTGGCAAACCCATTTAGCTGATTTCGTAGGTGTTCTTGATAATCACTTTCTGAAAGCAAAATTATTTCAATTTTTAAAATTAGCTAATTGGATTCTCCCTAGAATAACTAAATTTAAACCAATTGAAGGTGCTGAAAATGTTTTTACAGATAGGTCTAGTAATAGTAAAGCTTCTTATTCTGGATCAAAAAGTAAAGTTTTCTGGATGCACTATACTTCCGCTCAAAATGCGGAGCTCGTAGCTGTAATGAGGCACTGACTGCTTTTGAGATGCCTGTCAATGTAATTTCTGATTCTTCATATGTGGTTCATTCTACACAGTTAGTTGAAAATGCTCAGCTATGATTCCACACAGATGAGCAACTGATGACTTTATTTACCCAGTTGCAAACAGCAGTCAGGAGTAGAATGCACCCCTTTTACATCACTCACATTAGGGCTCATACACCTCTTGCAGGACCCTTAACTGAAGGGAATCAAATGGCTGATCTCCTAGTTGCTACTGCAATATCTAATGCCAGACACTTTCACAATTTAACCCATGTCAATGCCTCTGGTCTCAAACACAGATACAGCATTACCTGGAAAGAAGCTAAAGCTATTATCCAGTGATGCCCAACTTGCCAAATGGTACATTCCTCATCTTTTACAGGAGGAGGTAATCCTCGAGGATTAGAACCTAATTCTCTTTGGCAAATGGATGTCACACATGGTCCCTCGTTTGGGAGACTAACTTCTGTACATGTATGTGTGGACACCTTTTCTCACTTTGTCTGGGCTACATGCCAATCAGAAGAGCCTTCTGCCTGTGTTAAACATCACCTTTTGCAGTGTTTTATGGTGATGGGCATTCCAGCTTCTATTTAAACAGATAATGCCCCAGGCTATACTAGCCAAGCTCTAGCTACATTTTTCTCTATATGGAATATTAAACACATTACTGGTATCCCATATAACTCACAAGGACAAGCCATTGTGAAAAGAATGAATCTCTCCCTAAAACAGCAGTTACAAAACCAGAAAGGGGGAACAGTAATTATAGGACTCCACACATGCAGCTAAATCTAGCACTATTAACTTTAAATTTTTTGAGCCTGCCTAAAGGCCAGATGTTATCAGCAGCTGAACAGCATCTACAGAAAGCCACTGCAAAGACAGAAGCAGAACGACTGGTTTGGTGGAGAGATCCAATAACAAAAAGTTGGGAAATAGGTAAAATGATAACTTGAGGTAGAGGTTATGCTTGTGTTTCTCCAGGCCAAAACCAGCAGCCGATCTGGATACCACCAAGACACCTGAAACCTTATCATGAGCCAGATGCCAAGGAAGATATTTTGGGAGGGATCCGAGGACACCCCCGGTTGCAGCCAAGTCAGGACTGACAATAAGGCGTCTTTTCCTGTTTGTAGTGGGTGATTTAAATCTTGATCTCCATAGATCAAGTGTTTTTTGAGCTATACTTCAGCCCCAAAAGAGGAGCTTTTTGATGTGACTTGTCAAGAATGTAGATTATTTTCTTGTGTGAATTCTTCCTTGTGTAATACTGATCATTCTATTTTAGTGGTTAAGAGCCCAAGAAGGAGAATGGATACCTGTAAAGCTTTCCCATCCTTGGAAAGCCTCTCCTTCTGTGCATATTATTACGAAATTCTTCAAAAGATTTTGAGGTGCTCTTGGCATTAAATTGCCACTTTAATTTTAGTCATTATGGGATTGATTGCTGTTACAGCTATTGCCGCGGCAGCTGGAGTTTCTTTGCATTTCACAGTTCAAACAGCAGACTATGTAAATAATTGGCAGAAAAATTCTACTCCGCTGTGGAATTCCCAAACTAATACAGACCAGAAACTAACTAATCAAATTGATGATCTCCAACAAACTGTAATGTGGCCAGGAGATTGAGTAGTTAGTCTAGAATATAGAATGCAGTTACAATGTGATTGGAATATTTCCGATTTTTGCATTACTCCTCAACAGTAGAATGAAACAGAGCATGAGTGGCAAAGAGTTAACAGACATTTAAAGGTTCATACTGGAAATTTATCTTTGGATATTGCAAAACTGAAGGAGCAATTATCTCAAGCTTCTCAGGCATATCTGATGCTAATGCCAGGAGCTGAAGTGCTTGAAGGAGCTGCAGACAAATTAGCAGCTATTAACTGGTTAAAATGGATCAAGACACTTGGAGGCTCTGATTTCAATGGTGATTGTGCTTTTAATCTGTGGTTTTTGTCTTTGTGTAGTCTGCAGATGTGGATCCCAAATCCTGCAAGAGGTAGCCCACTATGACGAAGCTGCCTTTGCCTTTATCCCTTTGCAAAAAAAATAAATACATACATAAAGGGGGACATGCTGGTAGCAAGCCCTCAGCCTGTCCTAAACAGGCCTGAACGAAACTGGCCATAAACAGCATTTCTGCAGCAATGGGACATGCTCGGGATGGCTATTACACACACTGCTAAAAGTTGTTGGTTTACTGGAGCAGGGCAAGGACAAGTGGGCCCGCCCGGAGTGGAAAACTGCTCAAACCACAAACAATAGCAGGAGTGGCCTGTGCCTTAACAACGTGCTTTTGCTGCAGATAATCCGCCAGAGCCTGTTTCTCTGCTCCTCGCTAGGAATGCTTTTAGTTAATCTATAATCTAGAGAAACTACGCTCATCACTGGCTTTCTATTAATAAATCTGTGAGTCAAACTCTGTTCGTGGCTCTCAACTCCGAAGGCTGTCAGCCCCCTGATTCCCACTCTGCACCTGTTTCTGTGTCTTTGTCTTAATTCCTCTAGTGCCACTGGGTTAGGGTCTCCACGACCAAGCCGGTCTCAGCAGAGTTCCATATTCAAGTCTGAGCTGCTGTGAAGGTGCAAACTCTTTTAACATCAGAAAAAGGGAATATCCTGCGAGGATCAAAACTCCAAGACAGAGTCTTGGATTTGAAAGCCTGGTGATGGTGAAAATGGTGTGTCTTTGGGGATAGAGAGAACTTTTTCCTTCACGTCTTTCACGTTCATCCTTACGCATCGTTGCCCAGGGGAACTTGCAGACTCTGAGCCCGCCCTGGCCTGTGGGAGCAGGAGGAGTCTCTGGTTTGGGTGCTGAGGGGTCCTCAGCAGGGTGGGTGTGTTGGGGAGATGAATGGTTGGCAGAACTGTCCATGGGCTTTTCTTTTCTGCCACTGTCCTCACTGTGCTGTCCTTGGGGAGGCTGTAGGAGTCATGGGACCGGGGACCTGCTCAGCTATCTGACCGCTGGCCCCACCACACACAGACCCTTGTGCACAGGACATCACACATCCCAGGGATTATAACGTATTAATTTTACCAACTCTTCCTTCCTCAGCATACAGATGTCCTTCCTGCCTGCAATTAGCACTTCCCAAAAAATTGCTAAGCCGCGTATCTACCTGCCTTCTCTTTACATCAACCCACACTTCTACTTGAGTATTCTTTTTTTCCCTTCAATTTTTATGTTAAGTTCAGGACACATGGGGAGAACAACACATACTGAATATTCTTTTTAAAAAACAAAACAATCAATACGTGCTATCAAAAAAGGAAGCTACCACACTTAAATAAAAGATGTTGCCCATGGAGTCCCTAAAATTGTCCTGTGCGTCAGTGGCTGGGTGCGCACCACACTCTGCGAAATGGTGATGCTAAGCCTCTGGCCCTTCCCTGGAATTTGCGGCCCCTCATGAGGAGCCCTTTGGAATGAGAGGGAAACAAGCATGTGGACATGCCCTAGTCGAGAAGTATTCTTTTAGTATCTGCCAATTGAGAAAATAGATAACATCCAAAGCTACTGTTCAGAAAGAATTCACCTTATGTTAATGAAACAGCAGTGCATGCCTGCAGGCACCCTCCTTTCCATCCGCAGAGGGCCTGGTGCACTAACTAATTTGAAGCCACTTTGCAATCTGTGGCTTCCTGGGGTCTGCAAACTTACAGCTGGGAATCCCTGGTTTAGAGGAAAGAGCCAAGACCCTCTTTGTTCCATTGTGTGGACGTCAGTATTTTGCCTTCTAGCTGGTTTTAGGTTCCCCTGACTCTGAAACAGGCATAAAAGCCCCCGTTTTTTCTTAAGCCTCACAGTCATTATTTTTGTGAAGACAATAGAAAATACTCTTTTTCTAGCCTGGGCAACATGGTGAAACCCCATCTTTACCAAAAACACAAAAATTAACCGGGCAAGGTAGCACTCACCTATAGTCCCAGCTACTGGGGGGTGGGATTGGGGGGAGGGCTATTGAGGCAGGAGAATTGCTTGAGCCAGGGAGGCAGAGGTTGCAGTGAGCCAAGATCATGCTGCTGCACTCCAGCCTGGGTGACAGAGTGAGACTCTGTCTCAAAAAAGAAAAAAAAAGAAAAGGAAGAAAGAAGGAAAGAAAAAAAAGGAAAGAAAGGAAAGAAAAAGAAAGAAAGAAAGAAAGAAAGAGAAAGAAAGAAAGAAAGAAAGAACTATTCTTAAAAGGAGAAAAATAATATTTCTAAATGCAAATTGTCAATATAACCCTTTCCATGAAATCTCAGAAGCAGCTAGGACTCCCAGGAGATGAAGAGAGAAAATATGAATGGGACCGACATGGGAAGCCAGTGATCAGTGATGGAGACACCGACCACAAGGGCTCTGGTGACTCAGCTCCTTAATAATCACCAGGCCAAGGAGCCCGGGAGGTTGAGACCACGTGTGATGTGGAGGAAACTTGGCAGCGCTGGGCTTGGGCGCCTGGCTCCGGGCACTGAAGGGAGGGCTGCAGAGATCACGGGGAGAGGCCGCTCCTCTTCTCCCAAGGCCAGTCTCTGTTACTGGGGAAACGGGCCAGGGCTGCCCTTGACGTCCTTGGAAATCACACCAGGAATGGCCTGACCACACTGGGCAGGAGGGAAAAGAAGGAAGCCCACGGACTGGGCGGAGAGGGAGAAAGCCTGCCGCAAGGGCTGCAGGGCAGGAGGGGGCTTCTCATTCCCCCCCAGGCTCCTAGAACAAAGGAAAGCCCGCCCCACCGCCCTCTCTCAGTCCTGTGTTCTATTTAAATCCTGTGCCCGGTGCAAGACTGCATTCAGTCTGCATGAGCCTTAGTTTCATAAAAGCCGCCTCGCACCGAGGGGACAATGTCCAGAACCAAATAACTGCAGGTGAGCAATTCTCTGTATTATACAAACTGGGACCAAAGATGACTTTATAATAATGGGAAGAGACAATCAGGCAGACTGGGAGGACCTTATAAATAGATTATAAGGCCGTGGTGAGTTTATTTTAACTTAAAAAAGAAAAAAAAAAAACCTTCTTTTCTGGTACACCATTAGTGAAAATGTAACAGTGTCTGGATGATCTATTGCAAAAAAAAAAGATCCTTTCTTTCTTGATTTTTTTTTTCTTTTTAATTCAAAAGCCCCAACTTTCTGAGTTTCCATGTTGAGGACAAAACTCCTTTTAGAAAAATTCTAAACTGGGCAAGTAGTGAGGCCCTGATTAAAATGGTGGCTCATTTGGAAAAATCCAGAAAACAGCCCATTTGCTCTCCTGATGTCGTCATCACCAGCAAGCATTTCTTGAGCTTTGGTTTGATACACAGACTGGGCCCAACAGAGCTGGTGGGCATGGAGGTCAGGCCGGTCCTCTGCATCCCTGAAGAAAGCAGGCTGTATCGGCACAACTGTGCAGGCAGCACACTGAGGACACACTGGATCCTTTGGGATGTCTTCTGGGTTTTCCACTTTGGGTCAAGCAAAAAGGCAGCAGGAGTATAGAGAGCTGGCTAGTTCCTTCCCCTATGCGAAGACCCAGTGAGAAAGTGCCATCTATGGACCAGACAATGGGCCCTCACCAGACACCAAACCTGCTGTGCCTTGATCTTGGACGTCCCAACCTTCAGAATGGGGAGAAATACATTTCTGCTCTTTATAAGCCACTGAGTTTATGGTATTTTGTTGTAGCAAATGGACTTAACACTGGAACAAGTTGTCAAAGGTGTGGTGTGCATGTGTGTGCATGTATTTATGTGTCCATTTGCATGTATGTGTGTCTATGTGTATCTCTGTGTGTGCACACGTGTGTGTGTGCATGTGCACTGTGTTTTGAGATGGAGTTTCACTCTTGTTGCCCAGGCTGCAGTTCAGTGGCGCGATCTCAGCTCACTGCAACCTCTGCCTCCTGGTATAAAGCGATTCTCCTGCCTCAGCCACCCCGAGTAGCTGGGATTACAGGGGCCTGCCACCACGCCCAGCTAATTTTTTGTATTTTCAGTAGAGACAAGGTTTCACCATGTTGGCCAGGCACAGCCCAACTCTTGACTATCCCAGTGTCTGCTGGGCTGTCTTGCAGGACTCCAGGGTCCTGTGACGAGCTTTGTGCAAAGGGCTTCCACAACCAAGCACGAGCAGATGCTCCAGTGATGACGGATTTAGAAGGTTGCAGTTGGGCTTTGCAGATAGAATCTCCATTCCTAGAAATGTTTTTCAGAACAACAACTAAACAAATAATCTGATTAAAAGATGGCCAAAGGACTTGAATAGGCATTTTTCCAAAGAAGACATACAAATGGCTGACAGGTATATGGAAAGGTGCTCAACATCAGTGATCACCAAAAGGAAATGCAAACCTAAACCACGATGAGATATTACCTCTCACTCATTAGAATGGACACTCAAAAAAGTGGAAAAAGTGTTGGTGAGGATATGAAGAAATTAGAACCCTTGTATACGGTTGATGATCATATACAATGGTACCGCCACTATGGAAAACAGTATGGAGTTTCCTCAAAAGGTTGTGAATAGATTTACAATATGATCCAGAAATGCCACTTCTGGGTATATACCCGAAAGAAATGAGAGCAGGATCTGGAAGAGATATTTGCATACCCTTGTTCACTGCAGCATTAGGTATAATAGTAGAGAGGTAGAGGCAACCCAAGTGTCTACTGAAGAATAAGTGGATAAATAAGATGTGGTCTAGCCATAAATAGAATATTTATTATTCAGCCTGTAAAAAGAAGGAAACCCTGTTGCATGCTACAACATGGATACGCTTTAAAGACATTATACTAAGTGAAATAAGTAAGTAACAGAAAAAGACAAATATTGTGTGATTCCACTTACATGAGTTATACAAATTAGTCTAATTGGGCCAGGCACGGTGGCTCATGTCTATAATCCCAGCACCTTGGGATGCCGAGGCAGGAGGTTCACTTGAAGCCAGAAGTTTGAGACCAGCCTGGTTAACATAGCGAGACCCCATCTCTAAAAATAAAATTTTTAAAAAAGATTAAAAAGTAGTCTAACTCATAGAGACAGAAAGTCAGGCACTGGGAGAAGGGAAAAATGGGGTGTTGTTCAACAGCTATAGTGTTAGTTTTGCAAAATAAAAAGGTTCCTGAGATCTGTTGTACAACAATGTGAATATAGTTAATGCTACTAAACTATACACTGAAAGATTGGTTGAGATGACGTATTTTGTGTTGTCTTTTTTACCACCATCAAGTTTTTTAAAATTTAAATGCACAATGTAGTCTAAATCAGACATAATCTTTTGGCTATATTTTAATTGATAAAATCAGAATTAGATCCCTAAATCTTACATTTAGCTGGATAAAAAAAAAAAAAATTAGATTCCCTAATTTTAAGAAAACTTAGGAGCGGTAAATTTAAATTTGGAAAATTTTATCCACTAACTTAATTTTGTTCTGCTTAATTTGAGGGAGGAAAAAGACTATTACCCATTCTAGTGGCAGATATTTTGCTCAAGTTCTCAGAAACCAGCTGAGAACCAAGATAGGGAAGCCTTGATTTAGGGCAGGAATTCTCAACTTGCCAGGGCCCACCCCAGCTGTCTGCGGGGAACCTAGGCACACAGGCATTTTTAAACATCCTGGTAAATCTGACTGGCACTCAAGATTGAGAATCACTGATTTCCAGGAGCAGCATCTGCTCATACTTGGTTGTGGAAGTCCTTTGCACAAAGCTCGTCACAGGACCCTGCAGTCCTGCAAGACAGCCAAGCAGACACTGGGATAATCAAGAGTTGGGCTGTGCCTGGCCAACATGGCGAAACCTTGTCTCTACTGAAAATACAAAAAATTAGCTGGGCGTGGTGGCAGGCGCCTATATTCCCAGTTACTCAGGGGGCTGAGGCAGGAGAAGGGAGGCGGAGGTTGCAGTGAGCCAAGATCATGCCACTGCACTCCAGCCTGGGCAACAAGAGCAAAACTCGGTCTAAAAAAAAAAAAAAAAAAAAAAAGAGAGAGTCGGGCTGTGGAAAGAATGCAGGAGAAGAGGAACAAGAAAAGAATGCCTGCCTCCACAAACGTAACACATGGCTGTGCTGGGGCCAGGTGTGGCAGAAGAGAAGCTCACATTACCCAGGTAAGGGGAGACCTGTGGACAGAGAGGGGAAGGAGAAGAGCACCCAAGCGTCCTGGGTCCCTGCAGCAATGTCACTCTCACAAGGGATGGGTTAACTAGGAATCAATCTTGTCCCCAAATAAGTGCTCTCTCGGAGTGTTTTTTTGTTGTTGCTATTGTTTATTTTAGTTTAAATTCTGGAACTATACAGAAAAATGTAGTAATTCTTAAAATGCCCATGCATTTGTCACCTTTATAACATTTTCCCAAGGCCTCATTCCAAGTGGTTCTAACAAATTCAACACCAGGTACAGAATTATTGCTGTAGCCCATACACATATACATCCTATTCCTTCCACAACAGAGTGTGAAATGTTTAATCATCATGAGTCACACAGCAGCTCCAGGTCTTCCCTCGAGGCCCCTGGAGGAAGGAGGCACAGTAGATTGGATCTGTGGATGAGCAGATACATTGACGAGTGGCGCTTCAGCAAGTGCTGAAAAATTAAGACGCCTTTTCCCTTGATACCTGCAAAACAGTTTACTAATCATATTGTTTTTACTTTTACTAATTCCTCTGACCGTAAGTGACAGGTTTATGCCATTGGAGAAGTGATATTGCACCCCAGAGCCTAGAGGCTGCTGTCTTCCAGATGAATGTAAAGGCTAAGTGGATGGGTGGGTGGAGAGATGGAGAGGACGACAGGCAGAAGGATGGATGGATGTATATACACGGACGCATGCATAGGATGGACACATGCATACATTCATACAAGCCTTCACACTCACATTCATCCTTCCATACACAAGAAAGAGGGATAGGTTGCTAACTAGGTAGGCAGGTAAACAGATGAATGGATAAATTGCATTTGTACGATCCACAAAGCACTCCCACTTCACATGATTTTTTGTTGCAGTACTCTTGAACAGCTACTGTTATAATTACTCCTAATTTGTAGATGAGAATGCCACATCTGGGTTAAGTAACTTGCACAAAAATCACACCACTCACAACAAACAAAGCAAGGACTCAGACAAGAGATTTGGTCCTTCTGCAGGCCCTTAAGAAAGGGACCCTGTCCTAAAAAATGTCTCTCTATCTCTTCTTCCCAGATGCTCTCAGCCACCAGTGAACTACCCTGTCCACAATCAATGATGAGGTTTACAAAGAAGTACACCTGCACAAGGTCACATCTGCTGATACCCACACCAAAGGATTAAGAACTCAAGTGAAGTTGTTCGCTAGCAAGTTGGTGGTTGACAAAGGGAAAATAAGGAGAGAGCTTCAGACTGCCAAGGCTGCCTGTGTAGGGGAGAAGAGGAGGGTCTTCAGGGCCATAGGGTTGGGGACGTTCAGAACTATGATAATGGCCTTTTCTTGATCCGCACACTCACTCATCTACCACCAACCCTAGCAGAAAGACAGAGGAGGTGTTTTCCATCCCTGCTGCTTCCTTCCTATCCCAGTCTAAATCCTTGACCAAGGAGGGCTGGATACCAGGATTGAGATGTCACAATTATAAGGGGGGTTCAAGTAGGGGAAACCACAGTACTTCATCTTCTCTTGCCATTATCTTTTTCTGTTAAAAATATGATGCTTAAAAAGTATGTAAACATTTACCCATTTATCATTTACTTTGAAATTCAGCCTTTGTTTTAGCCAGAACCAAAAGGTGACACAGCATTCTTCTCCATGCTTAATATGACTGACTCACTTAGGGAAGGGCTGGGAGGCTATGAACCTTCTGAAATTAGATGAAAGCTGTGTGCATATGCAAATTTTCCCAGGGACAGAGATTGTCACTTTTATTAGATTCACAAAGGATCTGTGTTAGAGACCCTGGGAGGAATTAAACACCTCTGTGAGGATATCCCACAGGGCTTTGCTGCACTGTCCTTGGAGGCTGTGCTGACAGTGACACCAGTGGTGACTCCCCCAGGGCTCCTCGTGGAAAGTTAGAAATGAAAGCAGCTCAAATAAGGAAGCCTGACTACCGAGTGAGGCCAATGGGAGAGAGAATTAGGTAGGGGAGGAAACCTCTAGACTACAGCAATGATCAATCAGCATGGGGAGTTGGGATTCTGAAGAAAAGGTCTTTTTTCTTCTTTTTCTGGAAAAAAAAAATTATTTAAAAAAGTAAAGATTCTTCTAGAGGATGTGTACTTTAGAAGATAATTTGGCATGGCTTAGTGTCTTAGTGTGCTCGGCTGCCATAGCAAAATACCCCAGACGGGGTCGCATAAACAACAGATATTTATTTCTCACAGTTCTGGAGCCTGGAAGTTCAAGATCAAGGTGCCAGCATGGTCATTTCCTTGTGAGGACTCCCTTTTAGGTTGCAGACAGCTGCCTTCTTGCTGTGTCCTCACATGGGGAGAGGGGGGATGCGGGTGGGAGAGAGAAACAATGAGCAAGCCTCTGGTCTCTTCTTATACAGGCACTGATCCCACCACGAGAACCCTTCCCTCATAACCTCATCCAAACCCAGTGATCTCGCAAAGTCCCATCTCCAAACCCTGTCACATTGGGGGGTAGGGCTTCAACATCCACATTTTTTGAGAAATGATTCAGCCCATGGCACCTAGTAAAGTTAAAGATACATAGTGATGGTTAATTTTACGTGTCAACTTGACTGGGCCACAGAGTGCCCAGAATAAACCTTATTTCTGGGTGTGCCAGGGAGGGTGAGCCCAGCACCCAATCCTTTGAAAGCCTGAATAGAACAAAAAGGTGGAGGAAGGAGGAATTTGCTTCTTTTTTCTGGCTTCACGGCTTGAGCTGGGACATCTCATCTCATCTCATCTGTTTCATTTATCTCATCTCATTTCATCTCATCTCATCTCATCTCATCTCATCTCATCTCATCTTCTCTGGGCCTCAGACTGGGTAGCACCATCAGCTCCCCTGGTTTTCAGACCTTCAGGCTTGAACTGAATCATACCACCTGCATTACTGGGTCTCCAGTGTGCAGACATTAGGTCACGGGACTTCTCAACCTCTATAGTTGTGTGAGTGAATACCTCATAATAAGTCTGTCTATCTATTATCCATCCATCAACCCATCCCACTGGTTCTATTTTCCTGGAGAACCCTGACTAACGTATGCACATAGGTTGCTACCCAGCAATTCTGACCCTCTACATATGCATTAGAGACACACCCGTACACGTGACCTAACAGGTGCATTGAACATTCTCAGCAGCACTGCTAGCAACAACAGCAGCAGAATGGACAGACACACGAGACACATTCACACTGGGGGACACTGTGCAGCAATTAAAATCAATGAACCGCATCTCCAGGCATGAGCCAGGAAGGATCTCACCAACGTCGGGCAGGAAGAACTGGTTGCAGAGGATATGCACAAGTGATCTGGTTTATACGAAGCTAAAAAATGGGTGCAACTGAGCACTATACTGTCTGTGAACATGCACATGTGGGACAGGGCTTCCAAGAAAGCCAAGGAAACAAGTAACCAAGCTCAGAGTATTTCCCTGGGGATGGGGTGGCAGGCTGTCAGAGGAGGGCACATTGAGTGGGGCGTCTCTGGTATGGGTAATGTTCTCTGTCTTCAGCTTGGCTCATGGGCATGTAGCAGTTTACTTTATCATTATTTTAAAAAATATATGTGTGTATACATATATATACACACATGCAGTACAATACATATTTACATAATGTACGTCACATATACCATATATCATATATAAAGCATAACATTCTTGTATGCATATTTCTTTTTTTTAATTTCTTTTTTTGACACAGAGTTTTGCTCTTATTGCCCAGGCTGGAGAGCAATGGCACAATCTCAGCTCACTGCAACCTCTGCCTCCCGGGTTCAAGTGATTCTCCTGCCTCAGCCTCCCGAGTAGCTGGGATTACAGGCATGCACCACCACCCCCAGCTAATTTTGTATTTTTAGTACAGATGGGGTTTCTCCATGTTGATCAGTCTGGTCTTGAACTCCCGACCTCAGGTAATCTGCTCGCCTCAGCCTCCCAAAGTGCTGGGATTACAGGCTGGGATTGAGCCACCGCACCCGGCTTGTATGCATATTTCAAATTAAAAAAGAATCTCGTTAGAAAAACAAAATGTCAAAAATAAAAAAAATTAAAATTTCTCATTAGAAAAACAAAATAAAGTTTAAAAAAAGGGAGAATCAATAAACATTACAATAGAATCACGCAATGGAATACTAACCAACAATAAAAATCGCATTACTCATATGTATTAACAGCATGAATGAATCTCCTCATAACTATGCCGAGATGCACACGTCTCACCGTGCTGAGCAGCAGGCACAAAACAATGTACGCTCCACGGTTCCGTTGATACGAGTTCTGGGACAGACATAACTCTCGTGATAGAAATCAGATCAGTGGTAAGTGTGGGGAGAGGAATTGATGAAATGGGTGAGAGGGAACCTTCTGGGCTGATGGAAATGTTCTATACCTTGTTTAGGGTGGTGGTGATGTGGGTGTGTGTTTACATTAAAAAACCAATGAACTGTATTGCACATTTAACATCTGTGCATTTACCTGCATGAGAATTATACCCCAATACAAATGAAAGTTGGGGGTGACAGTTTAGCTCCTCCTTTGATTCTGCTGACAACCTCAGGCCTTGGGCCACCCAAGGCTTGGAGAGGGAGGCTCTAGGACTGCTGGGAGCTGGCGAGGGCCGGACCATTGGCAGCTTGGCTATGGAGGGCAGGTGGGGGCTTCAGGCCAGCCAGGGCGTCGCAGGCATAGAAGGTAAAAATGGCTGTTCCAGCAGCCTTCTCTTCTACATCAGAGCCAAGCAGAGTGGACAAGCTGACTTTTGCCCCAGGATGAGGCTTCAGGGTGGCCGATCCACTCTAGAACAAGAATTCCAGTTAGGAGCCAGAACTGGGTATGGCAAGTCAGCTCCCAAGAGTGGAGGAAGCTTTGGGTTAGACAGAGGGCACACTCTAGGGTAAGGCAGAGGCTCCACTCCAGGCCTCAGAGCCTGGAGCAGCTGTCTGATCCTGAGTCCTCTTCCTCATCTGTGCAGCAGGAGCACTCACCGCCAGGCTGATGTAAGGCTCGTAGATTACGAGGAGAGGTGCCCCAAGGATTCAAAGCTCAGGAAGTTACGGCTTTTATTATGATTGCGCACGACCTGCTGCACCTTTTTCCTTGCTTATTTTCTTCCTGTGTCATATTTGTCATCATCCTCTTCTTCCGCTTGTCTTCTTTCTCTCCTCCTCCTCCCTCTCCTTCATCTTCTTCTCCTTCTCTTTCTCCTCCTCCTCCTCCCTCTCCCCTCATGTCTCTTCTCCTCCTCCCCTCCTTTCTCCTCTTCCTTCTCCATTTTCCTTCTTCTTTAATTGCAGCTCCCAAGGGCATTCAGCATACACTTTTGTTAACGGAAAAAGCCAGCTCCGTAAAGTATTTTAAAGAGTTTTATTCTGAGCCAATATCAGCGACCATGGCCCAGGAAACAGTTCTGAGAAAGTCCACCTGAGGTGGTCTGGTTACAGTTTGGTTTCATACATTTTAGGGAGACAGAAATTATAGGTGAAATAATAAATTAATGCATAGAAGGTACACATTGGTTCAGCCTAAAGAGGCAGGAGCTCTTGAAGCAAGGGGGTATAGGTCATAAGTGGATTCAAAGATTTTCGGATTGGCAATTGGTTGAAAGAATTAAGCTTTGACTAAAGACTTGAAGTCAGTGGAAAGGAATGGTTGAGTTAAGATAAGGGGGTTGGGGGCCAAAGTTCTTGTTATGTAGAGGAAGGCTCTTATGTGTCAGCCCTTGGAGAGAATAGATGGTGAATATCTCCTCTCAGATCTTAAAGGTGTCAGGCTCTCAGTTAATCTCTCCTAGATCTGGGAAAGGCCTAGAAAGGAAAGACCTGGCTGCATTAAGGGCGATCTTCTACAGATCCAAATTTTCCCCACAAAAGATAGCTTTGTAGGGCTATTTCAATCTGTTGGCCTTGTGGCGACCATTTCATTTATTTTTTAAAATTTACTTTTATTTTAAAATTATTCTTACAGACAAGGTCTCACTATGTTGCCCAGGCTGATCTCGAATTCCTGGCCTCAAGCACTCTTGCCACCTAAGCCTCCCAAAGTGCTGGGATTACAGGTATGACCCACTGCACCCAGCCAAAAAAATATTTTTTTTGCCTTTTTAAAAATCTTTTCTTCCCTTCCTCCCTCCCTCTCTTCCTTTCTCTCTCTCTCTTTCGAGACAAGGTCTCACTCTGTCACCCAGACTGGTGTGCATTGGCATGATCACAGGACACTGCAGCCTTGAACTCCTGAGCTCCAGTAATTCTCCCACCTCCACCTCCCAAAGTGCTGGGATGACAGGTGTGAGCCACCACACCCAACCAGCCATTTCAGAATGTGTCAAAGAAATATATTTTGGAGAAAAATGTTTTGATCTCCTTCAGGTCGGCTGTCATGTGACACTACACCAGAGTCAGGATGGAAAGTAAGCCACATGGTACTGCGCTAATAGAAACCTGTCTAACGCGATTTCATGGTGTGTCGGGCATGACTGAATCCCTGACTTGCATGACTTCAGGTCTTGCTTATAATTTGGTATCTTATTGGCACAAGAGTCTGTTTTGCCAGTCTTATAATCTCTATTTTAACCTAAATGCCAAAAAGCAGGAGGTACAACAAGGTGTGTCTGACCTCCCTTCCCGTCATAACTGGGGATTCAGTTTCTCAAGTTTCTCTGGGGTTTTCTTGAGCAATGAAGGGGGCCCATTCATTTGGTTGGAGGGCTTAGGATTTTATTTTTGGTTTACACTTTTTATAAAACAAGTAAGTCGATATACCCTCCCTGTATTTGGTTTCAGAAGTTAAAGAACACAAAAGACTTTGTATAAGACTGAGAAATAAAACAAAATAAAAAGTCCCACAACCAACTGGACGGAACCTCCTCTTGGCCAAGGGTCCCCTAGAGAAAGATAACTGATTTCCTGGCTGGCCCTCCCCTCCCCTCCCCTCCCCTCCCCTCTCCTCCCCTCCCCTCCCTCCTTTGTCATCCAGGCTGGAGTGCAGTGGTGCGATCTTGGCTCACTGCAACCTTCTGCCAAGCAATTCTCCTGCCTCAGCCTCCCGAGTAGCTGGGATTATCAGTGCACACCACCATGCTCGACTAATTTTTGTATTTTTGGTACATACGGGGTTTCACCATATTGGCCAGGCTGGTCTCAAACTCCTGACCTCAAGTGATCTGCCCACCTCGGCCTCCCAAAGTGCTGGGATTACAGATGTGAGCCACCACACCTGGGCACAACCAACCAGCATTTCTTCCTGAAAACAGACCACCAACAGCAGACTGGCTCTGGCCAGTCCAGGGAGGATGCACAGTGAGGAGGGGTCTTCTGTTCACCTTTTGACGTCAGAGGTCCAAAAGCTCCACCCCCGGATCATGCTAAGAACACCGTTTTTTGAACATGGGTCCTATGGAGAGGCACAAAGCTCGACTGCACATGCGCACATTTCTCCTTTCATAAATATTCATGACTCCTCCCATGCTTATTGAATATGCATATCTGGGCACGCTGCTTAGCATAAATCCCTGACTTCTTATTCTCACTCTCTAGGTGCCTGTTCTGGCTTCTGGCCAGAGGCTACCCTTCTCAGCCTGTCAGAATGACCACCGCGCAGGCTGCAACGCTGTATGAGAAAAAGCTCTCCTTTCCAAATATATGAACCTCGTCGTTCTTCAGTTGACTAGACAAAGCAGGCAGGTAGGAGGGAAAAGGAAGAGGAACTTCACTTTCATTTTTACAAGCCGTTTTTCCTGTTCATTAAATCTAATTCAGAAAATGTCAGCTGAGTACCTCCTCTAGCTTGGGCACTGTGTGAGCTTCTGGGAAGCAAACATGAATAAAATGCATTCCCTTGCCTGCCTCCCAGAGCTCGCTGGCTTTTGTATTATAATAGGCTCGAAAGCTTCTAGAATAAACCTTGGTGAAGAAAACAATTGTTATGTATATCATGCAATTTCCCCTTAATTGATCCATTATATAAAGGCAGAATTTTTATATTTTGAATAAAATTAGAAACAATCCATTTGGTGGGCCAGTTTTAGACTAACTGATGATTTCTGAAAATAATTTCCGGAGGCTTGAGAAGCTGGTTAGTCAAATTGGACAGAATATAAAGTTTTGAAAACAGGCCATGGTGTCTACTGGGGGGGGTCTTCTTGCACTCGGCAGGTTCTTTGTGGGCTGATGGTGAAAAAGAAGCTGCTCTCGCTCTTGCAGAAGTTACAGCTGAGAAGGGGACACATGAAGGAAAGCACTCAAAGCAACACAAGATGAACACTGAGGCTTCAGGTGTGGGCAAGGAGCTAGGGCAGCATGAGGGGAGATCCAGCCGTTATGGGAACTTCAAGGGGAGAGGGGGCTTGAGGAATGAGAGGGACTTTGTTATGAGAAAAGGATGAGGCTAGCAGACACTCCAGGCAGAGGGGACAAAGCCGAGTGCCGGGATTAATTTTATGTGCCAGCCTGACTAGGTCACAGGCTGCCTAGAGAGCTGGTACAACACGATTTCTGGGTGTGTCTGTGAGGGTGTTTAAGAGACTGGCATTTGAATCAGTACACAGAATAAAGTGGATTGCCCCTACTAGTACAGACAGGTATCATCCCATCTGCTGAGGGCCTGAACAGAACAGAAAGGGAGAGGAAGGGCAGATGGGCTTTCTTTCCTTGAGTGGGCCATCCCTCTTCTACCCTCGGACATCAGTGCTCCTGGTTTCCGGGCCTTCAGACACAAATAGTGAGAGACAGGACTAGCTGGATTTCCTAGGCTGACTAAGAATTCCTAAGCCTAGCTGGGGAAGGTGACCGCACCTACCTTTAAACACGGGGCTTGTAACTCAGCCCACACCTGACCAATCAGGTAGTAAAGAGGGCTCACTAAAATACAAATTAGGCTAAAAGCAGGAGGTAAAGAAAGAGCCAATCATCTGTCACCTGAGCGCACAGGGGGAGGGACAATGATTGGGATAGAAACTTCAGGCATTGGAGCTGGGAGTGGGGGGCAACCCCCTTTGGGTCCCCTCCCATTGTATGGGAGCTCTGTTTTCACTCTATTAAATCTTCCAGCTGCACACTCTTCTGGTCCTTGTTTGTTCCGGCTCAAGCTGATCTTTTGCTCACCATCCACCACTGTTGTTTGCCGTCATCGCAGACCCTCAATTGACTTCCACCCCTCCGGATCCGGCACGGCGTCTGCTGCGTTTCTGATCCAGCGAGGTGCCCGTTGCCTCTTCCGTTTGGGCTAAAGGCTTACCATTGTTCCTGTGCAGCTAAGTGCCCAGGTTTGTGCTCATCAAGCTGAACACTAGTCACTGGGTTCCACGGTTCTCTTCCGTGACCTACGGCTTCTAATAGAGCTATAACACTCACCGCATGGCCCAAGGTTCCATTCCTTGGAATCTGTGAGGCCAAGAACCCCAAGTCAGAGAACAAAAGGCTTGCTGCCATCTTGGGAACAGCCGCCACCCTCTTGGGAGATCTAAGAACACAGACCCACCGGTAACAATAGGACTTAGACCACGGCCCTCCAATTCTCCACCTTTGGTCTCGGATTGGGATGTATGCCATCAGGTCCTCTCAGGCCTTCAGGTTTGGACTGAAATGAGACTCCCAGCTTTTCTGGGCCTCCAGCTTGCAGCAGGCAGGCCATGGGACTTCCTGGTGTCCATAATCACATGAGCCAATACTTCATAATGAATTTCTTCCTATATCTATATAAGTTGGATATATATATGGAGATATATATATATGGAGATATATATATGGAGATATATATATATATATATGTATATCCAATTGGCCTTGTTTCTCTGGAGAGCTCTAATACACTGAGACATCAATGACTTCTCAGTCAGAGCAGGCTAGATAATGCTGAGTAACAGACAACCCTCAGGTTACCATGGCTTAAGGAAGGAAGGTGGAAGTATTGCTCATGCTCACATCATCTTTATTGGCAGTGGGCTCTGCTCTAGGGTGTCTCTCAGTGTCCCGGGCTGATGGAACCACCATCTATGGCATCGCTGTCTCCTTGGTCTGGGAGAACCCAGGGAATCACATGCTGCTCTTCAAAGCTTCTCTGCAGAAGCCACACATATCCTTTTCACTCACATCTTAGTAGTCAAAGCGAGTAACATGGTCACACCTAAATTCAAGGGCACGGGGTCCTGCCGTCCTGCCGTCCTGCCTATATACAGAAGGGGAGGAACCGCTGTAGATGAACAGCTGCGAAGTGTATCGACCCTTCACGGTGGGTGTGAAGCGGCAGGGGTGGATGGAAACAGGCGTGGTGAGATTGTGAATGCCCTGCCAGGCTCCATAGTTCGGACCCTGGAGCTGTGGAAGGCCTCTGATCAGCACAGACTCAGACACAAGGCCCGTGTAAGCTTCGGAAAGAGGATGCTGGTGGTGGCCTGGAGAGGGTCTGGGCAACCAGGGACAGGGAGGAAGATTCTGCCTGGACTGTGGGACAAAGTGGAGGAGAGGTGATGAATTTGAGAGGTATTTCTGAGGTAAAATCAGTGGAATTTGGTGAAAGACTTGCTCTGTCAAGAGAGGAATCTAAGACGGGGTGGAGCATTTTCAGCTGGGAGCTGAGGCCATTGATTGTATGACTAAGAGCAACAGTTACGCAGAAACAGAGGTTCCAGGGCAGACAAGCTGGATCTGGGACGCTTGGGGTTTCAGATTCCTGGGACATCCAGGACATCGCGTCTCCTCCACACACACGGCAGAAGCCCCGGAAGCTAGGCTGAGCGTTACCTTGGGGGCTGCTGAAGGGCTGGCAGTGGGTGGGCGCCGCAAGACCCAGGGCACAGAGTGAGGGGAGGCTCTGGCTGGAAGCCGGGCACGCCCAGGTGGAGACCAGGGGGCAGCCAGCGGCGCGCGGGAACACCGAGGGGAGGCGGCTCCCCCCGAGCAGCTTCAGTTTCAGCGACAGCCCTGGTGGACGCGGGGGAGCCGGCGGAGCCGTGAACTCGAAAAGGAGACACCTGTGGGATACTCCGAAGCCGCTGGCGATATTTGAGAGAGCAACTGCAGTGCAGCTGTGGGGGCAGACACCGCCACAGGCGGAAGGCCCTTCTTCAGAGGGCTTCACACAAGCTCTTTCCTCAGCTCGGAAATTCCCTGGCTTCCGGCTGGGCTCGGTGGCCCAAGTCCGAATCCCAGCACTTTAGGAGGCCAAGGTGGGCGGATCACAAGGTCAGGAGTTCGAGACCAGCCTGGTCAACACGGTGAAACCCCCTGTCACTAAAAATACAAAAACTAGCCGGGCGTGGCGGCGGGAGCGTGTAGTCCCAGCTACTCGGGAGGCTGAGGCAGGAGAATCGTTTGAGCCCGGGAGGCGGAGGTTGCTGTGAGCTGAGATCCCGCCACTGCACTCCAGCCTGGGCGACGGAGCGAGATTCCGTCTAAAAAAAAAAAAAAGACATTCCTTAGCTTCCTGGAGAGCGTTTCTCACTCTCCCGGGCTCTCCCCTGTGGAGGCCTCCCGACCCGTTGCGCCCCCGGAGCCTCTGCTCCTGCAGCCCCGCGTGCAGCGCCCACTGCCGTCTCCTGCGCAGCCGGGGCCTGGTTCTCCTGTCCCTGCCCGTACTCAGCTACCTCCGTGTCCGGCGGGGATCCGGCGTGTGCCGTGGTCATCTGTGCAGCCTCAGTGTCCGTCTCGTAGAAGAGGTCCAGGAAAATTCATCACCTTTGACTGAGGGGGGTGGGGGAGCGAGCATGCCTGCAGGCTGAGAAGCAGTCAGTAAAGAAAGACAGGTGTGGCCGGGCGCGGTGGCTCAAGCCTGTAATCCCAGCACTTTGGGAGGCCGAGACGGGCGGAGCACGAGGTCAGGAGATCGAGACCATCCTGCCTAACATGGTGAAACCCCGTCTCTACTAAAAAAAACACAAAAAACTAGCCGGGCGAGGTGGCGGGCGCCTGTAGTCCCAGCTACTCGGGAGGCTGAGGCAGGAGAATGGTGTAAACCCGGGAGGCGGAGCTTGCAGTGAGCTGAGATCCGGTCACTGCACTCCAGCCCGGGCAACAGAGCGAGACTCCGTCTCAAAAAAAAAAAAAAAGAAAGAAAGGTGTAAAACCAAAAAGAAGAAAGACTACGTCATCGGGGAGAGATGGGACCAGAGTCCAGGAGAAGGGATTTCCTGGGCAAAGGCCTAGGGATGCTCCTACCAGGGACAGAATGCAAGACAAAAAGAGCAAGAAAAGTGATGGATAATACACGTCCAGTTAAAGATGGCAGGCTGAACACCCGTATTTATCTCAGCTCCTTTGGGAACCGCAGGAAGTTATAGTCAGGGAGAAAACAGTGTACAGACCGCCCTAGTGGACAAGAGCATCCGATGATCAGAGGAAAGGAAGGCAGCGGGGAAAGAACAGAGAGCCAGTCGCCAATGAGATGTGCAAACAGCCCGGAGTCTCCCTGCAGAGCCCCGGAAGCCTGGGCACAGGGAACCCCAGAACACCAGGAGAGGGGTGCATTGACTGCAGAAGCACATACCCTCCTCCCGCACTGGATAAATGCGTCCAGAAGCCTGTGAACTCTGGCAGAGGGAGAGAGGGGTGAGAGACTGCGGTGAGAACAGGTTACCTGTCCCTTGTGGATGGGGAGAGCTTCCAGTCCTGCCCGGGGTTCCTCCACAGCACAAGTAGACACACCTGTGCTGGGTCCACACCACCCCAGGGTGCACACCAGATGCCTCATTACTGCAGTAACTAAATAGCCCCAAAGTAAAGGCCTGCAGCTTCTCTAACTCGGGTCTCAGCTCAATCGCGCTAAGGAGAATTGTTATCTCCAATTAGATTTCAATCATTTACTTTTAAATATATACAAAGAATCATCAAACATTTGAGAAAGCATCATACGTGAAAGTTAGAGCTCAAAACAAACAGGGAAAAATGTATCTCCCAAAATACTGCACCTATGAAAAAAACAGGGTGCCATTACAAATAATAAAGAACAAGAAAGTGCTTTTAGAAATTAAAATTATAGGCGGACACAGTGGCTCATGCCTGGAATCCCAACACTGTAAGGGGCCAAGGCAGGAGGATTGCTTGAGCCTAGGAGTTCGAGACAAGCCTGGGTAACATAGTGAGACCCCATCTCTATTAATTAAAAGGAAAAAGAAAATTTTAAAATAAACTTAAAAAATAAGAAAAGTATAACAAATTTAAAATTTTAATGAGTAGAAAAAGTCAATGAAATATCCTAGAAAATATTTATAGATTCCAAAAGACAAAGGTGTAAATAGGAAGGAAAAGAGAAAAAGTACACTCTAAATGCACAAAGAATTATAAATTCCATAAAGGAATAACTGAAAAAACGGAGAGGAGAGGAATTTATCAATAGAATAAGAAAAAACTGTCAAGATGAAGGGACAAGAGTTTTCAGATTTAACGTGTCAGTTATGTTTCCCTGGAAAATACTGAAAATTGTTTTCAAGTATTTTTTCCAAGGCAACTCATGTCACTGTAAAACTTTTATAACACCAGCTATAAAGAAAAGATCCTAAACACTTCCAGAAAGACAAAATAACAATCACATGCAAATAACTGGGAACAAGGATGGCTTCCAACCAACCTCTAAGTAGCAACATTGCAAGTTGGAAAGCACCGGAGGCCTTCAAAATGCCAAGGGAAAGTTATTTTCAACCTGGAATTTCATTGTCAAGCTATTATCAGTCAATTATGAGCAAGGATAAAGCATGCGAAGGACCTGACCAATGCTCTTACCTTGATTTAACTCTAGTCCAGCTCCTGTGGATTCTGACTGGGACCCGACCTTGGGCTCTGTTCTTGGTCCACTTACTCTGATCTCAGGAAGAATCCAGCTGAGTCATATAGTGAAAATCCCCACCGTTAGTCTGACCACTCTTGCCATCTTGGCACCCTGGCTACCTTCAGCAAAAATCCAGATAGGTCATTTTAGCAAAGAACTGCCTTAGCAAAGAATGACTCCTGGTAATTTTCCACCCACCAGCCCTCCACACCTGCTCCGTGCCTACAAATCTACATTTTTGCTTATTATAGTCAGAGTTGAGCCAGTGTCTCTTGCCTACTACGAAACCCCATT